CATGACCTTCTAAACAATCTCACGACTTACTCCTCATGTCAATGATGATAAGGTGATGAGCTCGAGCCGCTTAGACTTCACATGAGAACAATGAAGCTCTGGTCGAAAGGACAAATTTGTGAACCGATTTTCTTGGATTAGAATTTGAAGCTCCTGGTTTTCACACTTTGGTAAACGCTATCATGTGCCAGGAAAATTCAATTCAAAATGTAAACCATGTTCTTAGTTTCATGTTCAAAAAGTTCTTTCCTATGCCAGAAAAATTCATAATGGGTTTAGTAAAACCAAACAATACAGCTGAATATATGTAGCAAACATGAATGTTCAATTAAAATATAGCTAAAACAGGTAGTATGATAAGATCATGAGAGTGAACACACCTTTTAAAGAATTGTCCATGGAACCAGAGAAGAGTTTGTTAGCTCCAACAACTAATGAGACAACAGCTAACGTATGACCCTTAAGTGATGCAGCTGGCTCAAAGATGCTTGTGGCTGCATTATATACCCATGCCAAGATTGATGAATCCTGCACTAAATATTTTAACAGTTATAAGTTGTTCATCCTATACAACTGCAAAAGAATGACTACGGGCAGCAGGATGATGCATCCAGAAGTCTAATGCAACAAAAACATCACTAATATGTCCAAACTTTAGTTTATACGGTTGAGCCACAGATAGGGACAGAAAGATCCATAATCCAGTGACATATTACCTGGGTGCCAGCAATAGCAACCCACTACCCACAACCATAGCATAAACTTGTCCAACAGGCCCACTAAGACTTAGGTCAGTGTTGGTCTGCAAGTTCCATGCATGAAAAAATATGCACACCCTTAGATATCAATTTGAAAAGGGACCATCATTGGTACAGAACAAGGAATGGAGGAACCAACTATTTATACCGTTAGACTATAGCAACCTGGGCGGATTGGCAATCCCAAATCCTGGCAGTTTCATCTTGGCTCCCCGTGCAAAGCTTATTAGACCTAGATGGCAAAGCAATCCCACTGACAACCTGCTCATCATAACAAGAACAAATCCGATTATTTTAACTTCGGAGTAGGAGAAACAAACTAGATGGCTAGTTTTAATGAGACACAAAGAACAACCATTTGCAGCAGATAATCACAACACGTCAATATTAATGGGAGAGAGAACTGATACTAACTAATATGCCGTGGGTGAGAGAGAACAAAGCAGAAGAAGAAGGGATAATTTGTTGGCGAATATTAGCAGGCATACAAAACAAAAGAAATCAATTTTGAAATTACCTATGTTGGAGGAGGCGGGACTCATCAACGGAAGTAGTAGGGCAGTGTGTGGAGGTGGCGCCGACCGGCGCAGGAGCAGGAGCAAGAGCCGGGAGGACGAACGCCGGCCAGAGCAGAGGCAGGAGAACGAAGAGTCAAGAGAGGAAGCAAGGTAGGAGAAACTTCTTCGATGACAAGAGCTTGGTTCGTCGCTGAGTTCGCGGGCTGGAGGTTGCCAAATCGCCAGTTCTTGATCGACGAGCGACGGGGAGCGGCGACATGGCGATGGGTTTTGGGGCGGAGCTTTCAGAGCTCGTCTCTGGTTCCTCACGAAATGGAATTAGGGTTCAGTGAGTCCGAAATTTTTTCCTTTTTTATTTTTTAAATTTCATTTTATAATAGCATTGAAATTAGGGGCAGTTGGGTGGGTGATTTGAATTTTTCAATTGCAGGGGGAAATGTGGGCGGGCTTGAGGAATATTTTTGGGCGGGACATGGTTGTAATTTGGGCGGGGTATGGTCAAATTTTGGGTGGGGAATGAGATTTATGTCAATTCAACATAAAATGTGTCGGCAAGGCTGATTGGTTTCAGTCTCACACGAGGTTTCAGTCTGACACAAGCAAAAATGACGAAAATGACTTTTGTCAAAAAGGAAACTACTAAATTATGACGAACATGCCTTTTGTCAAAGTCGAAACCACTATATTATGATGAACATACCCTTTTCTCAACTCGCCGTGAGTTTATTGCTATCTATTGTGACAAAATACTTTGTCATTTAAACAATTCAGGAATGCATAATTTGGCAAACTTAATTGTGACACGAAGTATTTGTCACATTACTCACTTTAAATGACGAAATATTCTGACAACAAGAAATTTGTCACTGTTGAGTCTCTTACATCACGATTTGGGATGCCTATTTTGACAAAATTAATTGTGGCACGAAATATTTGTCACATTATTCACTTTAAATGACGACTTATTCTGACAACAGTAATTTTGTCACATTGGGCATACCAAATAGGACATATATTATTTTTGTCATATCATCGTACCTATTGTGACAAACAGAAAATGACAAAAGAAAAAATTTGTCCTAATAGGCCGAATTTGTTGTAGTGATATAGATTTAAACTCATATTCTCCAAACGACCCCTATGAGAGATTTGGTATCTCTAGATTTTAGAGATTTAAAATCTATGTAGCTACAATCCATGATACAAAAAGTAGCAAAAAAAAAAAAAACATAACATTTTGCTAAATCTATGGATTTAGTAAATCAATGATCCAAACCTTGTTCTCCAAACGACCCCTTAGATTCTATCGTTCTAGGTCAAAGCTGGAAACATACAAGTGTGATGAAGACTCATAGATTTCTGAAAACCCACGGTTGCGTCCTAATAATCCCCGGTGGTGTAATTAGGGAGCCAGGCCGTGGATTTGGCTGCTCTAGCCTCTGGTTCCCGTCCACTCTCCAATTGCACCCAGACTTGATCCTCATTCTCTATTTACATGGAAGAACCTGAAACTTCATCGACAAGAACTACCTAGCGTAAAATGGGCCAAAAAGAAATCAAGAGCTAAGCCAAACGGTCGAAAATGTTGGAAAAAACATATGTAAATATGGCGTAATCAAACTCCCCCACACTTAACCGGTTGCTTTGCCCCAACAAACCTAACTCAAACCAATGCAACTCTCTAGATTTTTACAGAAACATGCAGCCCATATATTCGATAGAGGACTTCCTAAGTCATTTAGCAGTTTACGAGGTCAACCAGTTTTCTAAGACATGCCCTATCTCTCTCAATGCGAGTACTAGACTCGAGCCAGGATCATGCAAAGTAGTGGACTTAGGACAACCAATTCATGGACAAAGAGTCTCGCAACACAACAACTAAGGACTCTTCGTATCAGGTGCTCTTCCCATTTCACTCCATTCGTTGGAACCCCTTTTCCTTATCGGTTTCTTCTTTTTTTTCTTTTTTTCACGCTTTTCTGGGGTTCCAGACTCCAATTTCTATACGCGGTCGACCCTTATTGGCTGAGCAAGAGCAATTTTGGTACATCTGTCGCTCGCTAGAGTACTTCTGTTAACTCCTTTTCCTTAACTCGTGTGGAGGGTCAATGAAATTAAGGGGGGTTGGAAGCTCTAGCGATCCCTTAAAACTACATCATCGAGTAGGCCAACTGTTCAACGGGTGGAAACTTTACCTATACTACAGATGGTATAGCTTCACCTTGCATGCCTACCCACTAAAGATCACTAAAATCTCTTCCAAAACCCGATTTTGTGCAATGAACGGTTCCCCACACGTTGGGCTTACCCCGTGTTTAAAATTTCAAATTTTCTTCGACATGGAGGACCAACTACTTCTGGTTACGCACACCTGAGCACCCTTTTATGATACATGAGTCCACACCACACATAAGAGGAGTCATTGATACCACATGATTCAAATGTCCTAAAGCACTAGTTCACACAAATCAACTGGCACAACAACGAGAAAGATAGGACATATCTTATACTTTAGCATCCTCCATAGTGCTACAACTACCTCCTTAGGTTGCATGATACCATGAAGACTGTCAATTCAAAGCATACTGAGCAGGAAATTGCTAAGAACACGTTCTTGGGGTCCTCAAATCAAAATTTGGACAGTGGACTAGGCTCCAAACACACAAACACATATAGGCAGTCAAATATAAACACATCCCGCACTTAAGTTCGATATTGCCCTTAATGGAGAAGAGAGAAGGATAGGGGGTACGATGTTACTGGGAAAATAAACTGTTGCGGGACTGGAAAAGTGGACCAGTCAGGAACGGGACACTGAAATGGGACCAGTTGTTGTAAGAAGGGCTCACAAAAACAACCACTAGATCATGAAATGATGGGGCCAGTTGTCACCCAAATGGGCTCAAAAGAAAAAAGAAACCAAACACACCAAAATAGTTCAGGCCAACACACTTGGAGCAAACACAAAGAAAAGAAAAACGAAAAACACTTAGAAGCCATCGGCGAGCACAACCTACTCATCGATGTTGACGTCTATGTCGAAGTTGATGTCTGCCATGAAGTCATTGTCGCCCGGTGGTGGTGGTGGTGGTGGTGGAAGTGAGGGCACCCATGGAGTAGTCCAGTGATGCTCCTGGTGACAGGCACAGATGACGCCCTACTCAGACTCAAGGCGGTCTAGGCGGTAGTTGAGCTGGCCCAAACGTCTGGAGTACTGCTCTTGATGAGCCCAGTACTGCTCCTGAAACTGTTGCTGTGAAGATAGGATCTACTGGTTCTAGATAGCCAGCTCATGGAACTGAGAGGTGAAGAAATTCATCGACGAAACAGAAGGAATGGAGGACTCGCCTCACTCCAATCTCCATCATGGAGGCAGATACTTCGGCGGAGAGAGGGGCTCCTAGTGGACAGGCTCGTCCTCGAAGGATCTATTATCATCATAAGCAGCCTCGTCCTCGTCTCTCTCCGCAGGAGGGAGAGAGAGTCCCTCGACCCAATCATAATCATCCTATTAACTAGGCTCGTTCGAACTAAATAGTATTATATCTTTAAAATTTGATAATCCATCCAAGAACTCCCTAATTCTTATTTTTTTGGTTTTTTAGTCCTTTTTTTCGATATTCCATAATAAATGCAATAATAGGAATGGAATTTCAATGACTTTGTTGATCTAGAATAAATAAGAGAACGTACAAATATTCCTTGAATATTGGTAGTTCTTGTACTAAAAATTAGTGTCTTATTATTGAATTTCAATGAGCATCTTGTATTTCATAAAAATTGGGGGCAATATAATCCTTACGTAAAGCTGAATCTCGTGGCAATCATCATTTGTCAGTTATTCGGAGTAAGTTCCTTAGCTTCGACAGGGCATTTAGTCCATGTCGCTATTCCCGGCTCCAGGGGAGAATACGTTCGATGGAATTATTTCTTAGATGTATTACCGCATCCCCAAGGATTGGGGCCACTTTTTACGGGTTAGTGGAAACTTTATGCTCCGTCGGCCTCCATTAGCAACCCCTGGTTGAAGATGACATCCCGAGTGAGGTAGAAATAGCCAACTGTAGAGGAGATGTCGGTGAGGCCGCTAAGGCTGATCCTTAGCTTCCTAGCCAGCATAGTGACCAGGGCACCACAGAACAGATGTCGAGGGTGCTTTGCTGACTTGGCAAAGATCTTCGCCACCATAGAGCCCAAATGCAGGTTGGCGTTCGACTTCGTCATCGAGTATATATGATAAAGCGCATTCTTGTGAGAGGATGTGACACTGGGGTAGACCGGGCGGGTGAGCATGAGGTGGATGGTCCTCCACTATGGCAGCAAGGTGGTGGCATTGGTCTGCCTAGGCTCGAACGACACCTCATGGAACGCCGACAAACATATGGCGGTGTTGAAGGAGAAAAGATCCATGCCCTACGAGGTCGGCCCCTCGAAGACATGGTAGCTAAGAGACCGGAAGCTCATGCCTAGTGCCTCCATGAACTAGTCGACACTCCTCTCCTGGTCCACATTCCCGAGTATGAACATGATACCATCAGCATAGGCCAGGTTGGGGCGATACGCCGCCATGCGAAAAGTGCAGTAGAACTCCCACACTAGCTCGGTGTAGGTGGTAGCATACAGGCGAAGAATTCGCCTCCACTGGAGGTTGGAAATGGCATGCTAGATATCGCCCTGTCGTACAGTTCCTGGAGGATGACATTGTTTATATACCAATGCTCCTCGATGGTTCGTGCCAGCGAACTACTCGTCATAGTCGTGGGTATGACTATAGGTGTCAATCGGGCGGGTTCGGGCTGGGTTCAATCGGGTTCGGGTTCAAACGGGTTGCGGGTTAGTCGGGTTGCGGGTTCATCGGGTTCGGGTTCAAACGGGTTGCGGGTTAGTCGGGTTGCGAGTTCATCGGGTTCGGATTCAATCGGGTTGCGGGTTCATCGGGTTTTGGGTCGGGCGGGTTGCGGGCGGGTCGGGTTTCGGGTTGTTCGGGCCAGCGCATCAAGTAACTTAACTCATTACTCATTACCAACTTACACATTTTATTACACTAATTTAAAATATTTTCTCAACTTTTTAACCAATTTATTTCTACCTCATATATATATACTTTATTTTTTTGAAAAAAAGTAGTCAAAATGTTAAATCAATTTGTATGACTTGCAAACTTATTATGTAATTAATCATAATTGGTAAAGTATTATAGCTAATAGTAATGGTGATATCAATATTTGCAACCAAAAGACACCATTAATTGTTTATTTGATATTTTAGTATAATTCATTAGTAATTAGATTAAAGTATCTTGTTTAGTATAACCATGCAAATCTAGTATTTGGCGTGTGGTATTTGGCAAAAGCATAGTGATAAAAGGAGTTATTTCAAAATAACTCATTGCCCAAATAACTTTAGTAAACTGTTGCCAAACGAGTTATTTGTAAAATTGTTCGAATTATCCTAAAAATTGAACCATTAAAGATTAGCATATATCCTATACACTTAGCTTTACCCTCAATCAACAATATTAAGTTAGTATATGTTGTAGATTGTATACCTTAAACCATCAATACATTATACACTAACCACATAACCTATACCCTAACCATATGTCCTTGAGTTGTGATTTTGCTAGTATATTTAATTTAAAAGTGAAATTCATACTTTGATTTTCAAAACATAGATAAAATGTGATATTTGCTAATTGTTATACCCTAACCATATATCCTATACTTTACACCACATACCTTGTACCCTAACCACGTACCATAAACATAAATTAAAAAGGGATCTCCTGCCGTTAAAGACTTCAAATGACTTCAAGTGAACATATGTTAATAAAAAACTTAGAACCGTCAAAACCATCAATATCTTATACCCTAACCATATACACCCTAAACCATATGTACCTTATACTCTAACCATATACTTTATATCCTAAACAACGAACCGACAAAGATTACTTATCAAGTTTAGTATAAATTGTTGTAACTAATGGTTAATTTATTTATTAGCCCATAAAAAATTACATACATATATACATATTAGCCTTCAAAGCATATAAGAATAATTTTAACTAGTCATGCCCTCCATATAAAAGTTAAAGATTCATATTTCAAAAGCTAAAATTATGAAAAAACCAAAAATTTGAAAACACCAAATTTGTTTCCTTCTTTCTTTTCACAAAAATACTAAAATTACCCTCCTTCTTTCTCCTTCCATACATTAGAAAAACTCAATTTTCCCTCCTATTTCTCTTCCATAAAATTGAAAGAACCAAATTACCCTCTTCTTTCCTTCTACAAAAAGTTGAAAAGTCAAAAGTTTCCCTCCTTATTTCTCTTTCATAATCAAAAGAATCAAACTTTCCCACTCTTTCTCGGGATTTTTCCAAAAGTAGTATTGTTTTAAAAAAAATTCCAAAAATAGCACCCTTTCTGCAAAACCGCCACCCGGGGCAGCGTTTAGGCGAAAACCGCCACCCGGGGGCGCGTTTTTTGATGAAAACCGCACTGGCAGGGGGCGGTTTTACAGACCGCACCCCCACCATGCGGTTTGGTTGCAGATCGCACCCCCACCATGCGATCTGCTTTTTTTTTTTTTTTGAAAAATCCTAACCTAGGTGGAAACTTCAAACGAACGGATCTTTGTGTTCGGGTAAATCCGTGTAATGTTCAGATTATTTGTACAACCAACAAAAAAAATTGCACCAATAAGGATCAATTGAAATTCTACATACCAAATTACTTCATCAAACTAATCAATTTGATCCAACAACAAGTTTCTTTATTGTGTTCTATAGTGATACAACAATTCGATTTATTAAGGCGCAGCAACTAAAAACAAGTGATTGTGAAGAGAAATAAAGCCGACAGAAGCAAACCAGTCAACTGTGTTCCTACAATGAGAATGTATGGGCTCAGGCTTTCAGTTTTGTGCATACATCAGTTTCCATATCCAAGCAAACCTTGAAAAGGCTGCTCACTTTCCCCTGCTGCCTAGCTGCTTCAGTTCCTTTCCTAGCTATATGTCAAACGAAGAGTGGGAAAAGGCGTTGTGTCTCTCCCCCCCCCCCCCCCCCCCCCCCCCCCCCCCCCCCCCCCCTTTTTTTGTCCTTCTGGCTTCTTGAACTGGTGGGTATTATGATCATGATCTGTTCATGTTACCTTCAGGCAATTGTCCCATTGAAGAAGCAAACGAAGGAAGTGGGCAAATTTCCAGGAGTAGGTAAGTGGCAAGAAATGAGAATGAGGAAGTGACACAGTAATAGTTGAAAAAGCTGGTTTGCTTATAGTTTATTGTTTTTTGGATTTAGATGGATTTGTTGCATCAAAGATTTGAAATAGTTTATTGTTTAGTTGATTTTTTACAATGGATTTAAAGATTTGTGTACCATCCATAACCATCAAAATTTTGTTTTTCATAACCAAATCCAAAATGAAATGTAGGTTTGCAAATTCACGTGGTCTACAATATACATATTGGATTGTGAGTCGTTTGCTTGTTGGATTTAAAAAAAAAAAAAAGTTTTGGTCATATTTTGGGTTTTGAAAAAACTTGGACGTTGTGATGGAATGGATCCATTATGGATTTGAAAAATGATTGTTTGCTTGTTGGATTTAATGGTAGGTTTGGTCGAATTAGATTGTACGTATATAACACATTTTATAATATTTATGAATTTGGTCCAAATATCACCCATAGACCAGGGATTTGTATACCTCAACAAAAAAAAAAAAAAAAAATTGTGTCAAGTACATGATGCTAGGAATTTCGGGACAAAAAATTGCATCACCCAAATCCCACAAACAAACGATATCTAAACAAAAAATTATAAGAGAAAAATCACCCCGATACCAAACTTAAGCGATTTCGAGAAATAGTAATCTCCGAGTCTCGTTTATTCTATCTCTGACACAAATCCAATACTATACATATATAGTTACTTCTTGATCTGATCATCAAACCTTTCTATCAGATCATATCAAACCCTAGCTACTACGCGGCTTAATTTGGGAACTGCATCATTAAGGAAGTTACACAAATCATCCCTAATTAAGTACACTCGTCACTCTAACAATGGTATAACTGTGGCTTCCCTTGCTCCTTTGTCACTGGTCATTTAGCCCTTTCTTGCAACAAAAAAAATCAAAGATAGAATCCCAGCCATTGTAGAACCAGTCAAATTTCGCAATTGCACGGTGGGATTTCGTGCAAACAAAGACTTTACAAGTAACATTACACGGATTTAGCCAATCCCTCATCCCAAAGACCCAATGGCCAGGCTTCAGACTTACTTCAGTTGCGCGACAATGGCAAAAAAAAAAAAAAATTTGAGATCACAGCAGGCAGGGAGACGCAACACAACAATGGCTTTTTATGTGCAAGTGCGATGGGGTTTCAGAAAGAAAGAAAAAAGGTGGCAAGAAGAAGGAACAAGTAGTAGAGAAAAGTAAAACTAAAACCTTAACATTGGCATGGTGGGGTGCGTTCTGCAACCAAAGATACGTTCTTTTGAAGTTTCCACCTAGGTTAGGATTTAAAAAAAAAAAAAAACAGATCGCATGTTGGGGTGCGGTCTGCAACCAAACCGCATGGTGGGGGTGCGGAATGTAAAACCGCCCCCTGCTAGTGCGATTTTCATCGAAAAACGCGCCCCTGGGTGGCGGTTTTCGCCTAAACCGCTGCCCCGGGTGGCGGTTTTGCAGAAAGGGTGCTATTTTTGAAATTTTTCGGAGTTGGGTGCTATTTTTGGAATTTTTTTTTAAAACAGTGCTACTTTTGGAAAAATTCCCTCTTTCTCTTACTATCAAAACCACCAAAATTCCCACTTGTTTCTTTTCTAAAAAATTCAAATAACCAAATTTCCTTCTTCTTTCTCTTCCCAAAAACTTGAATACACCAAAATTTTCCTCTTCTTTTAAAAACATCAAATTATTAAATACATTACTTTACTTTATTTATATTTAATTGATAATTTTATTGAATAGTTAAATTAACCAAAATTTTAATTTATATATTATATTAATATTGTCATGATCTCAAGTGACCTTCATGTTTCAATTTTTGTAATTTTCTTAAAATACGTAATATCAAGTGAGTTTCATATTTTTAAAATTTCTTATACGAAATGAAAAAATAATTTTACTTAAGTTTAGAATGAAAAACTTTATTTTGAAAAACTATGTATTGTATATTTTTATAATTATTCAAGTGGATTAGATGAAATTCGGGTTGAGTCGGTCGGGTTACGGGTTAGTCGGGTTCGGGTCAATCGGGTTCGGGTTAATCAGGTTGCGGGTCAGTCAGGTTGCGGGTTAATCGGGTTGCGGGTTAGTCGGGTTGCGGGTTAGTTGGGTTGCGGGTCAATCGGGTTGCGGGTCGGGCGGGTTACGGGTTGTTGACTTTTAGTCAATTCGGGTTGCGGGTCGGGTTGATCGGGCGGGTTAATCGGGTCGGGCTATGTTTTGACACCTATAGGTATGACGCAGACCATGGACATAAGCGTGCTAAATTGATATGATTCTGCAAAACATAGATGCCATAGGTGGAACCATGCAAACCGTCTTTAGTAAATGAATATAGGGGAGAAACGATTCCCCCCACAATTAAGTACACAAAACACAGCAACAAGGCCGGTTGTAGAATAGCCAGATAGAATCTGCAGAGAACAAACTATACTGAAGACACTGGGGCACCAAGCCAACAAAATGAGTTATATTATATTTCAAAGCATGTCTAGCAACATAATAAAGGCAATCAGTTCTCAACAAACAAGCAATTATCTGAAAAACCCCGTTCTCTAACTAATCGTCAATTCTCCTTAAATTTCTAAGCAAAGATGGGAAAACCAACCTGGAGACCCAAGTAGACGGCTAGAAGAAGTACGAAACATGCAATGCACAACAAAAACCAGGCCAGGGTTGTTAAACTCTCTGGGTCTTTTCGCTTCTCCGATTGCTTGTTATGCAGGATGGTAGAACACTCCTTGTTGAGCATCACTGTCGATAGCTCCCAAGCTTCCTCTTCCTGGTGAAGAGATCCTTCATGAACTTCGCATACTTGGGAATCTTTGACAATGACTTCACAGAGGGCATACTGATGTTCACCTGCTTCAACCTTGCCATGAATTTGGCAAACTCAGTCTCCGGTTGGTCTTGGTGAAACCGAGTAGGGAAAGAAAGCTAAGGGACATACTCCTTCACCACTGGTTGTGGCTTAGGAACATGCACCTCAGTCTCCTTTTCCCTTTCTTCCTCATCTGCGAAAGTAATGAAACAAGTCTTTTCTCCTCTTCTTTGGCCCGGACAGGTGGGTCGGCAGTCGCCATGGCGTTCCTGGTGGTAGTGGCTCTCAAATGAGCATTTGGGTCCCGCAAATTAGGAATGGTTTGACCAGTTATGGTATCCAGAGCCCTCTGCGCTAGTGCTTGAGCCACACTCCCCAACTGGGTCTGGATATCCTACAAAATAGCCTGGGTGTTTCTCTTACCAGCCTCAAGCGCAGGAATTTGCTTGAAGCCTTATCCATAAATGCCCGATATCATTGAATTTGTAAGCACTGGAACTGGCTAGAGAACCCACCAAATCCCAAAGTTCAAACATCGGATCATGCTGTGTTGGGGCAGCAGGAGTTGCGCCCAGTTGTTGAAATGGTCTCGGCTACGGCTTAGAAAAAGTTGTCCCCTGTCTGGACGGATAGAGAGATTGTTGTTGCTGCTGCTGAAATTGCCCTTGCCTGGGTTGGTATGGCGGTCTCTTAAAGCCTGGTGGTATAGTAGTATAATTAATAAATATATAAACAAGAAAATAAATAAAAGAAGCACCCTTCTCAACTCAAGAAAACCCCTCTTCTTCTCCCTTTTTTAGTCCCGTAAGATCCACCTCAAGTCTGGTCGTCCAAGATTTCAGGAATTATTACTATTGTGTTAAGAATTATAATATGATAAACTAACTCAATTGATGGTTGAGACAAAAGTGAATTTATTATATTAATTGGTCTATTTTCTTCTAAAAAGATTTATTGATTAAATTTATTTATGGCAAAATTCACTTCCATAGCCATAACTTTGCATTTTGTGACAAATATAGCCAAATTTGAAAAAATACACAGAAATAGCCATTCCGTCCATTAATGTAACGGAATTATAAAGACGGCTGACTGGGCAAACGGTTGAATGTGGCTGCATTTTATTTGGTCTATGTGGCATGCCATGGTGGAAAACTAAATTAATTATATTTATTAAAAAAAACCCTACTTTACCATTCTTTTCCTCATCCGCCCTTTCCAATTCTTCTCTTTTTCCTCTTCACAGAAATCCCACCTCCATTCCACCTAAACTTAAAATCGCCGGCGACTCTCAATCGACGAACGCACTCATCAGCCTTGGTCCATTAACCACTCGATACGGTCCAGCTCGCCTCCGCGGTCCGACAATACACAGGGATTCAGACGTAGCACCGACTGACAGAGGGAGGATTTGCCGCAACATCGACGGCGATTCGCTTGTACCCTCTGCTCATTGTCGATTCCGGCGACGGCATATTTAAAAACCGCCCAGATCTTTGGAAACCGCCCAGATCTGGTGGTTTTTCAGGGAGGAAATCTGCAAGGAGATAGCGTCGATTAGGTTTTAGTTTCTCGATCTGCGATGGAGATTGTTGCTCTCCCTCAGCGGCATGATTGCGCGACCACGAGACGAGTCAGGATTTTGAGCGCGTCCTCTTCTTCACGGCTCTCAAGCTTCTGCTGCAGCAGGGAATTCAGACACTCCACTGCCTCGGCGTTACCCACGAGATTTTTGAATAAAGGGGAGGTGAAGGAAGGAGACGAAGAAGATGAATCTCATCCGGCAGCAGCTGGTCTGCCTCTTCGACGGTGGCCAAGATCTCTTCAGCTAGAGTAGCAAAGGACTCGACTTTGGCTGAGTGGAGTACGAAGAGATGGACGGCGGCAGCTACCCAGGTTTATTTTGCCAAAGATGGATGAAGCAGGCAGGGGATCCATGTAGTATTTGGGGGAATAGATGAAGCCTGTGAAATCAGAAGGCTAAGTGGTGAGAAGTGACAAGGAAGAAGAATTAAAGAGGAATCAGAAGGGGGAAGGAAGAAGATGGACCGTAGAGATTATGGTGGTGGTGGTGGTGGTGGTGGTGGTGGTGGTGAGAGGGATGAATGGTTTGGTTGTTGTGAATTTCATTTGATTTTTAGGTTTTTTTATGTCCATGAAAATGGAGTAGGTTGGCCGTCAAATGGAGAAGGAGGTTTAGAGACGATGGTCAATTAGATTATTTATTTATTATATTTTTTTGTAATAAATAATATTTTTTATTTTTAAGCTGACATGGCATGACATGTGGCATGACACGTCGATTTAGAGTTGACGTAAAAGCTGACTAGGCGCCATCTCAGCTTGTTGTTGACAGACGCCAACGGCATCTCTAACTCCGTCAATAAATTTAAAGGAAATGGCTATAATTGTCAAGGTAGTTTCAAATTTGTGGCTATTTCTGTGTATTTTTTCAAACTTGGCTATATTTGTCACAAAGTGCAAAGTTATGGCTATGGAAGTGGATTTTGCCTTTATTTATTTTGTCCGAATTGATTTTATTTATTAGTTGCAACCCAATTGCTAAAAGAGCATTTTAGTTTCGGGCTATATCAACAGCAAGATTCGGAATTGAATAGACATCAGTTAGTGAATTACTGTTTAGTAGCACATATTGAAAGATATTTCTTAAACACGTAGTACATTTTACTATGTTTTTCATAATTGGAAAACAACTTTTGGTAGTTTGTTATAGCTTGTAGCTCACAACAAAAATACGACTTTAATGTCGATTAACCTTTTGTTTAATAATTGCTTGATTCGGAACTAATGCCGAACTTACATCAAAATACGATAAACCTAATCAATAAGCATAACTCGAGCCGCCTACGTACTAACGCTACTGACCCACAAGACTTGGACTCAGACTCAACCTAGTCTACTCTAGCCGACTCGGCATACCAAGAGACTCCCAACAATCTACTAATTAACCCTCGTAAACACACATATAACTATTAATTAGCCCAAAGACCTATAGAATAACCTAACAAGCATTAATTCATACTACTCAAAATAACCTAGACCGAACGAACCCTTCTTCCATCACTCCGTCGATCTTCTTCCCTCGCGTCCAGGTTGTGGGATCGCCGCCGACCCTATAAAGGAGAACATTAATGTCAGATTTGTAAAAAAAATACAAAAATACAAAAATACAAAAATAACAGGGGAAACTCACCGAACAATTTGTAAACCCAGCGGGTTTTGAGCGCCCTCAGGTCCTCATTGAGTGCTTCGTTGTATTTCTTCAGCCCGTGGATCTCACTCCTTAGAATCTCTTCCCTCCTCTGCGATTCTTCTTTGTATTTCTTCAACTCGGCCACCTCCCTGCTCATAATTTCCCCCCTCTGCTTTGATTCATCAACACGTTTGTCACATGATAGCTTCATATCCCGTAGAATCTTCGTAGAATCCTTCACATCCTGCTTCATCTTCTTCTGATCCGAACTTTGTATCTCACTTGACACGAAACCCACCACGGCGATGCTCAACCCTGCTACGGTCATCACCATGGAGGGCTGCTTGTACCACGGGTCAGCATACGGGCCCGAACGGAGGAGCCTGGCCACTGCCTCGGCCACCGCCTTGGCCGTCAGTGGCGGCGGAGGAAACTCCGTCTTAGCACCACCAAGTGGAGTGAGGAGGAGGAGTTTGGAGTCGCCGGAGGAAGCCATTTCTGTCCATGGTGATGACCGTAGCAGGGTTGAGCATCGCCGTGGTGGGTTTCGTGTCAAGTGAGATACAAAGTTCGGATCAGAAGAAGATGAAGCAGGATGTGAAGGATTCTACGAAGATTCTACGGGATATGAAGCTATCATGTGACAAACGTGTTGATGAATCAAAGCAGAGGGGGGAAATTATGAGCAGGGAGGTGGCCGAGTTGAAGAAATACAAAGAAGAATCGCAGAGGAGGGAAGAGATTCTAAGGAGTGAGATCCACGGGCTGAAGAAATACAACGAAGCACTCAACGAGGACCTGAGGGCGCTCAAAACCCGCTGGGTTTACAAATTGTTCGGTGAGGAGGAGTTTGGAGTCGCCGGAGGAAGCCATTTCTGGAGTCTTTGCAAGGGGGAAGTGTAATTTAGGGTTTAGAAGAGGAGCAGGAGTGAGACTGTGAGAGGGTATAACGTCCCAGATTTATACAAGGATCATAGTCCCTCTTATCTTTGTGAACAGAAAACCCCTTTTGTTTTATTCGCCTCTCTCTCTCTCTTGCGTTGCAGGCAGCTCTGCATTACTCTGATATGGCTGTACGGAGGCAAGGGTCCGGCCAGAATTTTGTCCGTTGAGAGGATCATAGTCCCTCTTATCTTTGTGATCAGAAAACCCCATTTGTTTTATCCGCCTCTCTCTGTGTTGCGTTGCAGGCAGATGTGCATTACTCTGATATGGCTGTACGGAGGCAAGGGTCCGGCCAGAATTTTGTCCGTTGATAAGGGTGGGCAATATGGGGAAAGTGCATTCTTATAAATTATTATTAAGAACCAAACAGAATGAGAGATTGTGATTACACCACTTAAAAAGGGGTTAATTGCATGGTTGGTCACTGAGATTACAAAAAACGTTCATGTTTGGTCACTGAAAATATTTAAATCCAATCTTGATCACTCAAATTAGTTAAATGATTCAAGTTTGGTTACTCTCCGTCCATTTCCGTTAACTATAGCTTATGTGGCAGTCAACTTTCATTGTTGACCGTTAAATAGGTGACGTGGCAATTAAAAATTATTAAAAATAAAAAAATAAACTTTTATATTTTCCACCTCATTATTACATTCATCAATGAATAAACACAAATAAGACCCCCTCCATCTTGTTGTGTGTGGCTTCATTCGTTCTCGCTCCGCAAATCCGCCATTGTCGTCTCCTTGTCTCCCTCTTCCAGGAGACTGATCTCCATCTCTCTCGCTGCATTATTTCGCCCTAAATCTAATTTCCCACCCTTCTTTTTCTCCCTTTTTCGCAAAAATTTTCCTTCCCCTTTTTTATTTTTCATTTCTGTTCTCTTTCCCGTTTGATTTGGGGGTCGCCAATAATTAAAATGGAGAACGGCGTATCCGAAGATCTCTCAGATTCAATTCAGCTACCAGAATCCTCCGACAATGACCAGCGTGTCTACTTCGTTCCTCTCAGGTCTTCTTCCACCCTCTCTCTTTCTTAGATTGCATTTCTAATCTGTGTAATCCTGGACTCGTTCGTCGCCTTCTGGTTTCCCGCCTTCCCACCTACAAGGGTTAATGCCTGGTTAATCAAATCTCGGAAATTCGCCTGTGATGGAGGGAGCTGAATGTGTAGATGTTGGGGTTGCTCTTGCTCTTCATGGTCGTGTTAGGATGAATTGTAATATGGGGATATTATGATTTGGCCTGGCTGATTTGGGTTTTAATTGAGATGTTTTTAGGTGGTGGAAGACTTCCAATCTTCTCTCATCTCCATCCTTGAAATCTCAACTTCCCCGCCCATCTATTCTACTATCTCCGATACCTCCAGCCCTTTCCCCTATTGGACTGCCGCCAAGATGGCTAACGCATTCGCCCTCCAATCCAACCTCAAATCCAACGACGGGGAGGGTTGGGTCAGGGTGATGGGGTTTGGAGGTTCGGTTGGTGAAAACACGGAAGGGGAGATACAGAGGAGAAGGTTGGATTTGGTAGGAAATTAAAGAAATTAAGTTTTATTTTTATTTTCTAATAGTTGTGAAAATGACGTTTAAATTTAAAAGTATTTATTTTTATTTTATTTTTATTTTTTAATAGCCACGCCACTTATTTAACTGTCAACTATAAAGGTTGACTGCCACCTCAACAAAAGTTAACGGAGACTAACGGAGAGTGACCAAACATGAACCGTTGAACTAATCTTAATGACCACGAATAGAATTAAATATTTGTAGTGACCAAACATGAACGTTTTTTGTAAACCTAGTGACCACACTTGCAATTTACCCACTTAAAAAGTGCTTTACTTTATTTGATTGATTGGATGAATAGAGATGGACCCAAGATTTTATAACGATTTGACATAAAACTAGATGAAACATCCCGGTTTAACTCGTTTATTTGTTCATTATTTTAACCACAAAAATTTAAGAAAATAACTATGTCAACGTAAACTAAGAACGTCCAATTTCAGTCACCAATTTTATTTATTCTTCCTTTTATCCATTTTCCAGCCTCCTTGTCGAAATTATGTGATTCACTATGAATTGCTACTCTTATTATTGACTTGAATTTAATAAAATATTAATGATTTCTTTTGTTAGATAGTTTGAATGCTTTGTTATAACTTTTTGGTAATAGAGATAATATGGATTTGATTTGATTTTTTTTTCTTTTTTGGTGTGTGGTAGTGATGAATTCACTCATAAATTGATGCATTATATATGTCTTTTATATTATAGTGCATATGAGGTTATATCAATGGTTAATCAAAAGTTCTATAATGTTTATAAAATATATTAATATTATACATTGTCTTAGTTTTTAAATATTTATTATTAATATTGGCATTGTGCTAATTTTATATTTTATGTTTTATAATTTTGTTAAATAACTTAGACCATCTCCAATAGAAGGCCAAAAGTTTAAAAATAAATGAAAATAATAAATGTGCTAGAACTTACATTCAATTTATACATGTATATATATATATTTATTGACGAGCTCAGTTCATCTTCTGACGAGCGCGGTTTCATTTTCTTGTTTGTTTCTTCTGCAGACCCTGCAGAAAAAAGCAGCAGGCCAGGCAGGAAAATTGCAGCAGAACTACAGAATAAAGGCACCAGAGCTGGCGGTATTTGTTAGTCGCCCCAATTCTACCAACTTTGTCCACAAACAAGACAAGAGGCTTATTATTCCTGATTTTTTTTTTATGTTTTAAAATTTGTCCATTGCTTTACTTAATGGTTTCTCTTAACTGAGTAACTTGATTCATTTTGTTCTGGTGTTTTCCCCTTGGTAGATGGAACAGAAGATGTGAATCCTATAATAACCTCGATAATAAGAGTATTTTTGACGTGGTGTCAGTAATAAATTATTACAGAAAGAGATTTTCTTGACGACGACCGACGATCAATCGATCATATGTCGCCGATAATAACCATTTTTTAAGAAATCTAATTATTACGGACGAAAAACATGTTGTCACTAATTACCGATTTTTGTAGTGTAAGAACACAAGTGTGCCAACATCCAGGTCAAGCCAAAGCACAATCAACTCTAGTCTACCCACAGTCAACAAAAGTCAATGTAATTTCGACTCATGCCACAAAATGGTCCAACCAATAAAAACACCACCCTTGGTGCCTAAACAGTACACCTAGCGTCATTTTTTGCATTATAAGCAAGGTCAACCCGAGGGTGGACCCAAAGGTTTGCCAAAATTGATCCACACTCAGTGAGGAATGGGTGGCACACACCCGCGAGTCGATCTGTAAGAAGGTTCATAGGTTGTAAGTCACACAAAGTCGGTTTTTCATTTCGTTTGTAAACTGAACTTTTTTCGATTTTCCACTTTGCCTAACCCTATCTCTGTATTTCTAATTTAAATTGATGTTATATGAGTGTGTTTGAATTTTCACTATATGTTGGATTCATGTACGGACTTTTATTTTGGTATAATATTATATATTATTAACCATATATTAAATGAGACTTTGATATTATTTATAATATATCAACAATATAATGAAATTTTTATGCATTAGGATCAAACCTGAACTAAAAAAAAGAACATCATTAAGTCTCAACTCGCCGAGAGGGGGTTTGGCATAGAGCATGGTTGTCACGCCGGCCGGCGTGCCACCGGTTGTACCTGGTTCAACCTGTACCGGTCATAAAACCGGCGTGACACCATCGGTATGACCGGCATGATCGATATACGAATCTCTAAGTAAAATAATCTTATTTTAGTGACTTTAACTGTTAAAAATTATTTTATTATTTATTTTATGAGTAGAAATGTTAAATATTGATGTTATTTGTTGGATTCAAGTATAAATGTTTAGGTATTGACGTTAAATTTCATGTTTAAAATGAGTCATTATAATTTTATTTGTAATATCGACCGGCATGAACCGGCACAAACCGGTATGTGCCACCGGTCGAACTATTCCACTTGCTAAACCGGCACACTGGCATAAATCGGTTTGACAACCTTGGCATAGAGTTAGAAGGGGGGGAAATTGGAAAAAGTGGAAAAACAAAAGTATCTCGTTCTGTTTCAAGCTTTTTTTAAGGGGAACATGTGAAAGAAAAACAAAACAGAGCCTCTCACTCAGTTCTTCTTTCCTTCTCATTCAAAACACTTCAAACAAAGAATTCATACCTTTAACTTGGGAACAGAAAAGTGAAAAGAGACAGGAACAACTTAAGAGAGAAAAACAATAAAGGCAATCCCCATAAATGGAGGAGGTGCAGAGATGCAGAAGGGGTGTGGCAGAGTGCATAAACATGAGAAATTGAGAATAAACATTGGCATGCAACCCGGTACGCTGCAGCGGGCATTAAATGAGGGGAAATATCGGCATTCAACCCAGTACAAGGATCATAGACATAGTCCCTCTTATCTTTGTGATCAGAAAACTCATTTTGTTTTATCCGCTTCTCTCTGTGTTGCGTTGCAGGCAGCTCTGCATTACTCTGATATGGCTGTACGGAGGCAAGGGTCCGGCCAGAATTTTGTCTGTTGAGAAGGGTGGGCAATATGGGGAAAGTGCATTCTTATAAGGACAATATTTACCTGCACACTAGGTTGTAGGGGATTCCTGCAACCTGTCCAGGTGGAAGTCCTTTATTGGTTGCCTTTCTTTTATTTTTCAGTTTACTAATCCTAAATTAACAGCGAATGGAACAACTAACATAAAAATGTTAATCGAGGTGCTTGAATAAGAATTAAGGACCAACTGAATTATATATTTATTTCTTATCCTTCTCTCTCGTTATCCAACTACATATATGTTTATGTTTTTTTGGGATAATTGGCCAATTTGAATCTCAACGTTAATTATTGGTACAATAAGATAGGATCGTGAATACATTTTTGATTGCACAATGCCTTCAAACAATATGTTAGATATCTTGTACGTATTCAAATGGTTATCATGAT